GGGGGGCAGCGAAGCGGGCCCCCCCAGGAGCAGGCTGTGCTGAGGGGCAGTGGGAGGGAGAATGCCCTGCCTTGGCAGAGGGGTTCCAGCAGCCCCCCCCAGGGCTTTGCACCCCCGTTGTCCCACCGCGCCGAAGCGCTGGGCTCAGCCCGAGCCTGCTGCCAGGACAGCCCTGCTTGGGCTCCCGTTCCCCAGCCCCTCCTCGTGCCAGCACCGGGACCCCGCTCAGGTGCCGAACCAGCCAAGGGAGCCCTTCCCACCCCAAGGGTGCCCTCTCCCCGGGGACCCCCACGCCCCGGCAAGCGCCGGGTGGCCGAGCCGGTGTCACAGAACTTCGCTGTCCCCTTCCAGGCCAGTCGTGGAAAGCGCTGAGCGCCAGCGACAAGCGTCCCTTCGTGGAAGAGGCAGAGCGGCTGCGAATCCAGCATCTCCAGGATCACCCCAACTACAAGTACCGCCCAAGGAGAAAGAAGCAAGCCAAGAAAATCAAGAGGATGGAACCCAATATCCTCCTGCATAACCTTTCCCAGCCTTGCAGTGACAACTTCAGCATGAGTCACCATGGCGGCAGCCAGCCGGGCCACCCCCAGCCTCCCCCACTTAACCACTTCAGAGAACTCCACTCCATGGGGTCGGATATTGAAAACTATGGCTGGCCACCTCCTGAGATGTCTCCCTTGGATGTCTTGGAACAGACCGAGCCGGCGTTTTTCCCTCCGCACATGCAGGATGACTGCAACATGATGCCCTTTCGCGGCTACCACCACCATCACCAGATGGAGTTTCCCCAGGAGAAGTGCATGGGGCGGGACGTGGCCGTGCCCTACGCGCAGACCCCGTCGCACTTGGCCGACGCCATGAGGACTCCCCATCCCTCCAGCATATACTACAACCAGATGTGCTCGGGAACTCAGAACGGGCTTTCGGCCCACCTGGGCCAGCTCTCCCCCCCACCCGAAGCCCACCACATGGAGAGCGTGGATCACTTGAACCAAACCGAGCTGTGGACGGACGTTGACCGCAACGAGTTTGACCAATATTTGAACATGAGCAGGACTCGTCCCGAAGCCTCGGGACTCCCTTACCATGTCTCCCTGTCCAAAGTGACTCCTAGAAGCATCTCCTGCGAGGAGAGCAGCTTGATATCCGCCTTGTCCGACGCCAGCAGCGCCGTTTACTACAGCCCCTGCAT